AAATCGTAATTTCCAACACAAATAGTCTTGCTACCTTAAATAATTGTTCCCAGTAAACACTCGGTGCAACAATAATCATTCCCTTCATCTATATAAATATTTGTAAATTTCACAATGTAAACTGAAACGTTAGGTTTTCCGTTGGCCGATCGAATAACATTGGAACGTCGTTGCGCACTGTGCTCATTGGTTGGATGGATGCAACTGCCATTTATAAATACATATTTATAAAGATGGAGGGAATGCCTTTGTTGTGCTGAGAGTATTATTACAACTACTGTAATATACCTTGTCGTGCACTCAATATAAACACGGACGTGTCAGTATCATCTCTTCTGTATATCGCCCATTCTCTGGTATGTCAAAACCAATTAGCTACTAGTATATCAGGCCCGAATCCTGTTTAGATTAGCAATAAGCCAGACGTCAATGAAAACACTTCATTGATTTGTTATTAGTCGAAGCTCTACTGGCCCTCGGGCGGTAATTCGCATCGTTAAAGTAGAACTCCACTTCCATTGTTCGCGTTTCTCGTGGTTGATTTGTCGTTTGTATATTATGAATACATGTAGTATATTGCTGACCTTAAAGTCAACACGTTTCTGTGACGTCCAAATGTAACCCGAATCGGATGTGACGTGTCTCGTGGATGTCTGGTTGGATGGTTCCGATACGAAAGGGAAAGGTGACTACACGATATTACAGACGATAAATAATAGTTTAAAGGGCGGTGCGCAGCGCGTGTTCGAATTTCATGTATTAAATAAACAATGTATTTTACACGCGTTGTATACGTCGCTATGAGTCCCATATCGAACAGGACGCGGCACGATCGGACTACCGCCCTTTAACCACTAGTTGATTTTGCATCACTTTTACGGTATTCTATGACCTTTCACAACGAAACTGATTGTATCCATACCCAGACGCATTGTATACAGTCAAAAGCATTGCACAATGGTTTTTTCACGAATAGTCCGGAGATAATACCGAAGTAGATCTTAAATAATAACATACAGAACCCCTGTCCGGTAATAAACTTGTCAACTAAATGACGGAAACAAAATGACGCAGTTGGCTGGGTACAAATTGATCATATGCACACCTTGTTTGCATTTCACCTGTTTACAAACAAAAGTCTATGTTTATATTGAAAAAAATGCACGTTTTCAGGCGTGGCAACCGGTTGTTTAGGAAATTCTACATAAGAGTAGACGGTGTAATTTTTGGTGGGTAGGGTGACAACATCCCTACCACCCCTCTAACAAAATAACATGTACCAATCCTTTATCAGCACCATTAACTTATCTGCTAATAATCATTTTCTACCAGTTTAATAACTTTCAGACTTATTTGTGAGGTTGAACTTGAATGCATGCTAACAACCTCAACATGAACCCTGAGATGTTCGATACGTTGTTTAAAGGAGTCCCTTTCTAGATCTCATGAAGAAAGTAACAATCTTTAGTTTTTTGTAGTTATTTTTCGAAGGGAATCATTTCTACATTATCTCGGCTTCGAGTAAGAATAAACCGAAGTTCAGCGCATTTCACACACATTCATGATTAATTTATGCATGAACTTTGCGCATGTTTTTACTGTGCATTCTTTTACATTATTGGATTAGCATCAACAAAAAATAGAGGGTGTTTCTTTCATGTTTATCACGTCCATTGCTTAAAATAAGAATACATACAATTTGAAAATCTTTTTCGGAAAATGAAATTGCGCCCTCATAGTTCAGCAATGTGCTGGTTGCATCACACACGCGATATGTTGACACTTGGGTTTGGTTTGAAATTATTTCCTGATTTTCATTTTGTTTATTTCCACTCTTGTGTAATGCCTAGGTTATGGCGATGTTGCTCCGAACACTCAGACTGGTCGAATTGTGATGGTATTCTATTGTATCATTGGCGTTCCATTGAACCTGCTTTTCCTCTCTAACTTCGGCATCATGGTGGCGTCCTTCACAATGGCACGTTTTCAGAAGATGAGAAGGGCAGTGCGGAAAACCGGCAAGAAGCTGTCCAAGAAAATCAACGCGAGGCGAGGGAGTCTAGCAACACTGGACTTACAGACCGGAAAGAACGAGTCTTGGCGGGATAACTGGAAGTTTACATCATATAAAGACCCTCCGGGCACCCCACCGTTATGTACCGGTCACGTGACTGACCAAGGAAGAGACGACCATTATTCTGCGTACAATGACAATATATCAAAATACGAGCAATCAATCTCAAACGGGTCAGTTGCCAATTATCATACCAGAAAATGTATCGATGAAACCACCAACAACACTGGCACTGTCGATTATGGCATCAGCGACATTGAAGCGAACGCCCCCAACGACATCAGAGCAAGGATTGATTCATTGGAAGTTGCGAACGATACGAATGACGTAACCCGCAATGGTAGTTGTCAGACTTATGACAACATTGCATATGAAGGCGAACAATGCAAGGACTGTGCAAACAAAGCTAACGGTGATGTCAAAGCTCAGTATTTACAACCAGTAGAAAATGGGAAGACAGGTAAACCGATCAACCGTTCCGACAACAATAACGTACGCCCTGCGGGCGTGGCGATACAAATGGCTCATCTGACGAACGTACGCGATTGCACAGCATTCGAAAATCACGGCACACAGACGGATGATGATCACGGTGTTACGAGAGTAGATGAATCGCAGGATTCTGAAACCGACGCCGAGGCGCAGGACCACTTAGAATACGTTATATCTAACCCTACCAACGACAAGGACGTAGATGCCGCCAAAGGAAAAGCATTATGGACATTATCGACAATGTACGTGTTGTACACCATTCTTGGAGCAATCTTCTTTTATTCCACCGAGACCGAATGGAGCTTTATCGACTCACTCTACTGTACGTTCATATCGCTGGCTACTATCGGTTTCGGTGACCTTATACCAGGCGAAAGTGTATTACTGGACTATGGGGCACTACGTACTATTGTATACCTTCTATTTACATATATTGGGTTGATAATATTTTCTGCGTGCTTCGCTCTCTCGTTGGAGAAAATAAGACATGTTTCCCGTAAGCTTAGAAACAAGGTTCACATCACGGGCGAAGGACGGTACTGTTGCTGCTGTTGAATATAGCGCATTCAAGTCGCTCCCTTGTTCAGCTGACTTCAAACTAATTCGTGTCTAATATATAACATGTCGATTTAGTTAAGGAAGTGCGTCGGTGCTATTCGATTTTACAATGTCAATTCATACTATTTACCCAATCATGTGTTGCTATGTAAGGCACGTGACACGATAAGTTTGACGAGATTTGTTTTGAAATGACTCGTATTTGGCCTCGGAGATAAGTCGTACCCTAGTCAGATTATTGTTTATGTTATTTTTTGAGAAGTGCTAATAAAATATTAACGGTTTGAAAGTCGCCCGTATTTGCGATATGTTCTGTATGGAATCGGTAATTTGTTAAATTTCGGCCAAAATAGTACTGTGGAATTTTTTTAGTTAATGGAATGATATTTGTGAATAATTATGATACAGGTCACCGTCAACCATATGATTGAATTAATCAGTAATGAGTATATGAGAGTCACTCTTCAAACATGTGAACACAGTCTCTGTTCGTTCTCTGACCTGGAGACCTCCAAATAGAAGGATGATTTTAACTCGAATTGTTTGCCAAATTTCGTATAAAGATGGAGTGCTCTATGAATACTTCCTAAAGGAAAGGGACTGTTACGAGATGATCAATTCGAAAAATAATCACACTTTGGATTCGCAACAAAAACAAACTCCCTTTTATAACGAGTAACGACTCTAACTCGTGAATACAACATAATACCACAAAACACCATTTATGCTTTTGTTTAACACTCCAAAATATACCTCCTTTCAGATATAAGCACTCATAAGTTTTTGTTTCATTCCCAGGACTGACAAGTCTTCAATTTGTTACGAGATGACCGAATAAAAAAATTACCACGCTTTGGATCCGCACCAAAAACAAACTATTCTAACTAGAAACTACACTTAACTCGTGAATGCAACACAATACGACCAATCACATAGTTTATACAAAAATACTAAAATCATTGAACAGAACAGTGAAAATGAACACATCAACAAGTATGCATTAGTTCAAGAATTCGTACTTTGATTAAGAGTTTTACTTTTACTTTTTCGTTTTCCCAAGTTCGTATTCTTTCACATGACGTATTTGCAATAATGGCGACGACCAGTTGGTCACGTGACTTCATGTAAATCGTTCGTGTCAAATAACTGCACCTTATTACTCACAAATAGATCAAAGATTCCCTCTAATTAGAAGGTTTATAACGACGATTTAATGATAATTAATCTGAGATTATCCAGTACCCAGTTACGTTAGATAAAGAACGTTATAACGACGATTTCATGATAGTTAATCTGAGATTATCCAGTACCCAGTTACGTTAGATAAGAACGTT